CCACTGCCAGGTCTGCCTTTTTCTATCTGAGGCAGATCAGGCAGTTGGCCCCATATCTCACCCCCAGGACCTGGATACAGTGGCAATGTTCACTTCCAGACTAGATTATTATAACTTTTTCTGCGTGGGGCTGCCCTTGACTCTGCTCCAGAAGTTGCAGCTAGTGCAGAACGCAGCAGAACAGGTGTTGACGGTGATGCTTGTGTGGGCTCACATCCACCCTGTACTGCGTGAACTGCACTGGCTGCCTATTGAATACTAGATCCGTTTCAAGGTGCTGCTGCTCACCTTTAAAGCCCTATACAGCCAGGGGCCAGCATACCTTTGAGACTGCCTCTCCCCATATGAGCCCTGTAGAGCACTGAGATCTACAAATCAACACCTTTTGATAACCCTGGCCAAGGAACATCCAGCTTGCCTTCACCCCATCTGGTGGAATGAGCTCCCTTATGAGATCAGGGCCCTGCTGGTTTTACTACAATTTCACACTTCCTGTAAGATGTAGCTCTTCCGCTGGGCTTTTAGTTGAGGCAGCAGACATCCCCCCCATTCTGGTTGGCCTCCCCATCAGTGGCCTGGATTTGAACAGCCACCTGGGAACCCACACTCCCGTTCCGTTTTAACTGCTGAGACATTGATCATATTTTGCATGGCATTTTATGATTTTGTACTGTTTTATCTGTTGTTTTAAAGTGGTTTTAATTGTACTGTAAATTGTGCAAATATTGATGGAACCCACCCTGAGCCTGCTTGCGGGGAGGGTGGAATACAAGTCCAAAAAATAAAATAAAATAAAATCACTAGCACCATTGAGGCTGGGGACAGACAGGGAGATGGCACACAGAGACTACCTGACCAAGGCTGGGGATAAGGGATATGGCCTCACAGGGAGCTAACAAAGACCCATAGAGTGATTTCAGCTAGTGATTCAGCTTTATTCGAACAAGCACATAAACGCATTCAGGAATCAGAACAACTTAACATTGGAGCTGGGCTCCTTTTAAACATACCGGGCTAATATAGCCACTCCTACTATTTACATAACAACCAATCAGATTGCATAGATAAAGGCGAATCAGTGTCCTTCCTGCTCAGGGAACAGCTCTCCCGTGATTGGTCGCTGTTTTGAAGCGACCAATAGTTTGTCAGTATCGTCGGAGCCCTAGCTGGCTCGAAGCTTAACATGGGAAGTGTATTAAGCGATTCATGTTATGCTGTCAGTACATAACAGAATGCAGCAGTCCCGGCAAGCTAGCACCCCACCCCCCACCCTTATGGCAGCATATCTGACACTTGTGGGATTTTACTTGTCTCTGGGCTCTAGGACGCATCACTATTTATACATCTTTTCTCTATGCCAGAGCCCTACAGCCCAATCCTGTGCAGAGTTAAGTATACCCAATCACTTTGAACTCACAGCCAACTCTGCATTGGATCAGGCAACCATCTTATGTACAGTCATTGTGTATGTAGGCCTGGTCTTGAGAAGCAGGAGAATGAGGTGTTAGAAGTGGTAATGGGCCATGCCACTTCAGATTTCAGGTGGAGAGAGTCTTTAATACACCCCAGGTAAAAACTTATTACAATTTCCTAAAAAGTATATGAGAGAATATTTGCATGTGTGCTAGTTTTCGTCTTGCAAAGAATCATTAATGCAGAAGAACTCTGAACAATGTAGTCCCCTCACCTGCAGTCTGAAATGATACAGCCCATTCCACCACTTTAGTACTCTGTCATCTCATACTGCTGTAGGTGCAGACTAGCCCTTGGTTCTACATAAACATGCCAAGGATTGTACAGTATAGCTGTATATATCAAGACAAGGACCTCTATCATTATAATGTTCTTTATTATTGGTGAAGTATCAAAAGTGATAATTAATATCATTAATTCCAAGCTACCAATTAGCACCAGTGAAAATGGATATTCATTACACAGAGACCAAATGCACACTGATGTACAAACAGAACCCTAGGATTACTTCATTAACAATAATTTTCTCAGTTAATCTACTCAATGGACATCTGCAGAGTGCTATCTATGTCAGGCCTGTGCATTATGTCCCACTGGGGGCTTATTAATCCCCTAAACAGGCAACAAAGCGGGGTGCTTATCAATTCTGGCAGGATGCAATTAATGATATGTGATCACTCTTCTGCTCTCGATTCCAAATTGCAAGCAGGACTCCCATAGAACTGGGGGGGGGTCACTTTTTATAGAGCACTCAGAATCATCCTAAAGCACATTGCAAATGTTTTACACATACAGGGTCTCACACTGCATTCCCATGTCTGTCTTCCATTCCTCTCATCCAGCCATCATCTGCCAAATACTAGGGAAGAAATTAATTTAAAAGGATTCCACATGGGGTCAGGAAAGTGCACCCCCTCCAGAGCCGCAGCAGCAGCAAGTGGTGCAGGAACTGGTAGGAACAGTGTCCACAGAATCTGTTCCCATGCTTTTCACTGCTGTGCAAGGAGGAGTGCAAGGCAGAACCCTACACCTCATAGGAGACCTCTGTAGCAGCAAGCACCATGGCTACCTCTCCATCACTGCCCACTGGTGGCAACCAGAGGACCTCTCTGTCTGGACTGTTCTGAGGCATTGTTCTGCCACTGGGCTTCAAAGTGGTCCTCCTACATGCACAGAGGATGGATGCAGACCACAAGGCACAAAACATTGCCGCCATGTGATACAGAGTAGCCTGAGGGAGTGGGTGGGCGGTGGCAACATTGACCATGGCTACATGGTCACGTACACTGGCACCAACATGCTGACAGTGGTGAAGGTTGCGTGCCTCAAGGGCATTATCTGCCTGGCACAGATGCTTCACCTGCTCAGGTGCTCAGGAGCACTGTCAAGGCCACCTGGGATGCTGCCACCCTTGAGATGTGGGACTTGCTGCAGACCTGCTGGTGCCTGGCTGACTATTTTTCATGCCGCATCAAGTCTGCCTGTCTGCTGTATGAGAGGAAGGGGTAGGGGAAAGAGCCTGAACACCATCTCATCCTGGACTTACCCACCCACTGGAACTCTACCCACACCATGATTGTGTGTTTGGTGGAGCAGAAGAGCGCGGTGAAGGGTGTCAACTCCTCCATGACCATCCTGCTTGGGGAAAAGGAGCTCAGCAACAGCTCCAATGACTGGCTGACCCTCTCTCAAGTGGTGTGTGGCCTCAAGACCTTCCAGGACACCACTGACATGCTCTGTGCCCATACGTCCAGCCTGGGCCAAGTCATCCCCTTAATTTGAGGGATGGACCAAGTGCTGGCCTCTGCACTGCAGCTGGGCTCTGAGGGTATGGCTGTTCTCCAATGGGTCACGGCCTTGGCAGAGAGGTTGCACCAGATTGCATCCTCTCTGCAAGGAAGGGGAGTACAGGCTAGCCTGTACGTGTGACCTCCAGATAAAAGGAAGCATTGCTCTCTAGAATGCAGAGCTCATGCAATGGAGGCATGAGCTCTGCAAAAAAGTGCAGAGGCTACAGGCCAGTGGACATGGCCAGAAAAAACAGTGGGTGGAAGAGATGTGTGTGTGTGGGGGGGGATCCACAGCCTGGCACTTCTGCCTCAAAGAGCCCAACCAGGGAGAAGCCTTGCTACTGTTCATCAGTGGTGAACTGAGAGGTCAGCAGCGGTGAAGCTGCCAGGTGTGCGATGGTGAAGGATTAGGCAGAGGTGATGGTAAGGGAGTATCTTGTCAAGTCCCCTGAGCCCACCTCCACTACTGGTCACACAAGGCTGCCACCTGGCCCAACCTCTCTTGTGTGGCCATGCCATGATCTGGGCTGTGCAAGTAAAGGCCTAGCAGGCCCAGGGAGCCTGAGTAGCAGTGGGAGGAGGCCAGGCCTACAACTCCAAGAAGCCCCTGAGAGGTTTTGGCGCCAATTTTAGCCGATCACAGAGAAAGGGGACTCATAATAAAAGAGCTGGTACAGAAGAAGAACTGTTCTTTCTTCCAAGAGAGCAGGGCCAGAGAGAGGGCTGCTGCTGGGAGAAACCCTCACCCTGAGAGGAAGGGTGAGTAGACTCAGGCCCAACAGAGACAGTGAGCTAGGGACTATGATTCTAGTTGCGTTAGGACACTTGGTTTCTTTTCTCTTCACCCACTTATTGCTATTGATCTTGCACCTTGTTTGTACCCATATTTTACTGACCTCCTGTAAAAATAAACCTTTTATTTGTTGTTTACTCTGCCTGGTCCTCACGCCGTTTATTCGGCCAAATAAGGGAGTTCTGAAGGTCTTGGGAGGGTGCTCTGGGCCTTCTCAAGGGATACTAAAACCAGAGTGGTGGCAGCATCAGGTGACACCCCACCAGAGCCGTGACAGGCCATGAGTTTCCTGTCTTGCCCTCCCACCAGTGTCCAGAACAAGCAGGTGTTCTCCCACCTGGGAGACCTTCTCAATCCCCACTGCTCCCATCTGGACCCAGCCAGGGTGGATGAGCTGGCCTTCCTCAGGGTCATCCTCCCCCTGCTAGGCTACTCCTCTGTGGACCTCACAGAGTAAGATCCAGGTCTCCTATTGTCCCCCTGCATGTCACACATTCTTTCTCCTCTCTGGGTGATCCAGCCTGTGTCCTGCAGGTGGTGCTCTCGGCGCTTAGGTGGGAGGATGGCTGCCTCTTTCATGTGGGAGTGGGCTCCCTCACCCAACACCTACCTCATGAAATGACATCTACCTCATAACACAACACCTGCCTCACAATCACTTTAAATGGAAAACTCTGGTTTTTCTCTGGGCTGATGGGGCTGGGGTGCATGCCAAGGTGTTATCGGTTTACTTTAGGGAGTCCCTGTTGATTGTCTGCCTTTCTGTCATGGCTGGCATCATTAATCATGTTGTGGAAAACTCTGATTTCCACTGGTCTGGTGGGGCTGGGGTGCCCACCAACCTGTTGTGGGGTAACTTATGGGAGCCCCTGTGATATGTTTTGTCATGTCTGCCATTCTGTCCTTCAGAACCTGCCTTTGTAGACTTGAGGGGGCTGTGAGCATACAGGGGTGGCTTGCCTTGCTTCCAGTCACTGGCTGGGGGGGGGGGGGGGGTGTCTCCCAGATGAAGTTTCCCTGTAGATTTGGTGTCACTGACTTGTTCCTGAACCATTCCATAGACTCCTGTAACTGCAGATATCTTTTCCAGAGAGAGCACTGGGGAGACCTGGGTGTGTGTGTCTGTAACCCCAGAAATGTAATCTGCCCCAACTTGGAGAGATTGTAGAGGAACAGGTGGCAGGGTGAGGTTCCCTGTGCATTTGGTGTGTGTAGATTGCAGGGGGTCTATTCTATACACTTTTGAACCTGTGGCTGACATTTTCCCCAAAGCATTTCCTGGCTTGACCTTAGTCCTGTTGGGTTTGCAGTGCCACAGTGGCACTGGTTCTGCTAGGCTTGCAAAAATGCCCCCTACCTTCCGTTTCTGCTGCAGAGATTCTCAGAGACTTTGATACTATTCTGTGGGGTTTCGATTGCCCTTGCTTTTTTTGCTATTTCTTCTGCTCCATTGGACAGAATGAAGGATGGTGGCACCTGCTTTGGGGGTATGACGGCCCCCTTGTTACTCTCCCCACTCTGAGGTGGATTTTTCCTGCCAAATTTCTTAGTTCCTTCCAGGTACTGGGCTGGCCCCCATAGTAGTGTGATAATATTTGTGGCTTTATAAACCTGAATGTCCCACACTTCGACAGAATCTGATTTGGCTTTTTGCCCAGCCCAGGAACTTGTCAGGAGAAAACAGGAGCCCCCCCCCCCCCCGATCCCTTGAAATGGCACTGGAGACTGTGTAACAGTGAACAATAATAAAGATTTTATTCAATATGCAGGGATGGTATGGGGTAGTCAGGAATTGGAAAGGCTGAGGTAAACAGTGGTAAAAGAGTATATGTTTCTGCATATAGTTTCCTAATAACTGTTGAGGTTTTCTGGAAAGGTCACTCTGTTAGTGCATCAAATTATTTCCCCTTTTCTGAAATCGCAGTGTGTCTTCTTTTCCCTGAGTATCACTGTTTCCTTTCATAACAGACTGCCTCAGTGCCAATTCCCTGTATAACTAGGAAGGATTTATATTTCTTTCTTGAAAATATAATCCAATTCCTTTTGGCCTGATTGGGAGCTTCAGCCTGCTACCCAGTCACTCTTTGCCAAAATCTCAAACCAGTTCTTGGCGTCTGTGTGAAAATGTACTTCAGCGTAAGCTGACACTAGACTCTGAGTTGTTAAATGGAATTCTTTCTCAGGTTATGTTGAACACAGCAAAGACAAGGAGTCTCTCCATTTATTCTCCATTTATTCAAAAAGGTGAACCTGTCTGACAGACTTTTAATCAGACTTTTCAGACATCCACTCTTTTAGCTGAGCTTTTACTTGACTGAACAGTAACTGCCACTGAACACACGATGAACTAACTCTCCCATCATCACACAACTCATATATTTTCTTGAGCTGGCACTGGCCAATCAGAGAAAAGAAGCAGCCTGTCACTCAAGCTCAACATTCTAGAGCAGAGTTATTCACCTCCCTTCTCTGATTTTGCTGAATTAGGAAAACAGCATTTTAAATGTATATCATAGGGGGGCATAACTCAGACCCCTTAAATCCAATCCTCACCAAATTTGGAAAGCAGGTAGAGGAGAGTCAGCCGGAGATCTGTGAGTTTGGTGATGGTAGCATGCCAGGAGTGGTGGTGTTCTACCACATCACCAACTGAAACATTTTGTCTACTGAGATGGACCATGATTCATGAACTGTGCATGCTGCAAGCCACAAATTAACTACATGTTCCCAGTTCGTGCCTATCCCTAACTGTAAGGCTACAGTGCAGCTTGCAAGAAAATCGGGGGAAAGTCATATAAAGAGCTACAGGGATCAGAATTATACACAGTGGCAAACTGCCCTGCTCCATTTTGAAAGGGGAACTAGCCCCCCCCCCAGCTAAAGGTGGAGCAACCAGATACACCTGCCTGTGATCCTGGCACATACATAATCCCAGGTACACAGTAAACCATGGGCATGGGTAAGCCCCAATGCTGAATGCTGCCAAATGCACAAGCGCAAAATCACTAGATGTTTTAATTGACAAGAGGGATTGGGGACTCCGCAAATTTCAAAGTACCTAATCATTTGCAAAGCCTGCAGCATCACTGGATGTAATACAGATGCCATTGGAGAGCTGGGAACCATAAAGTTGACAGGCTCCATCTAAATTTCTTAGACATGAGTATTCAGGAGGATTTCTTCAAGTGCCACTTTTAAAAGTTGGCATGTGAACATCAAGCACAAATGGACATTTTGTTTCCCAGAGACAGGTGCTATTTTACCCAGATTCTGAAGGCCAGTTTTCACCAGGGGAAGTGTTGATGACTACAGTTCCTCACTTGATGTTGCATGCAACTGTCCCTATTTACTGGGGACAGTCCCTACTTCCTGGTACAGTCTCATGAGCAAGGGAATTGCAGGCTATTCCAGAGAGAAAGATGTGTGCAGGGGGTAGAGATTTTGAACATCCTGTAATTGACGACTGGGTGTTCTAAAGCAGTGAATTCGGGGTGAGAATAACTTGTGTTCATGTTGAATCCAAACAAACCTGTCCCTATATTCTTCCATAAATTATTGAAAACATTAGATTGAAATTGTAAAGCACTTTTTGCACTGAAGAGCACTATAGGGTAATGCTATCAAGTATGCATTCCTAATATTATAAACATAAGACTGGAAGCACATTTTGGTGCAGGCCAGTACAACACATGACCTAACAAAGCTAAATGCTGCTCATTGACTATTTATGATGACCCACCAGAGGCTAAATAAACATTCCATTACATTTAGGGGTGCCACTCTCCAGGTGATGGCTGGAGATCTCCCATTGTTACAACTGATCTCCAGGTAACAGAGATCAGTTCTCCTGGAGAAAATGGACACTATAAAAGGTGACTTTGTGACATTATGCTCCAATGAAGTCCCTCCCCTCCCCAAACCCTGCC